TTAAAAAGGCACAAGATTTAGCTTTTTCAATTTCTTATATTGGGGCCCCAGACCAAAAATGCACCAACCTAAAAGTTAATCTTTTAAAAAGATTAGATAAAATTTAGACTTCTCCAGATAATCTGTTTCTATGTTAGCTAATCTGACAGATGTGATGTGGTACCTCAGAGCTGTTCTGATTTGCATTTCTCTAATCAATACTGATTTAGAGTATTTTTTCATATCACTATAGACAGCTTTTATGTCTTTTTCTGAAAATTGTTTGTTCATATCCTTGACCATTTATCAGTTGAGGAATGATTTGTATTCTTATTTGACTCAGTTCTCTGTATTTTCAAAACGAGGCCTTTATCAGACACTGGTTGTAAAAATTCTTTCCCAGTTTTCTGCTTCCCTCCTAATCTTGGATGCAATGACTTTGTGCAAAAACTTTTCAATTTAATGTAATCAAAATTATCCATCTTGCATTTTATAACATTCTCTATCTCGTTTGGTCACAAATTCTTCCGTTCTCCATAAATCTGACAGGTAAACTACTCCTTGTTCTCCAAGTTTACTTATAGTATCAGCATCAATGAAATCACAGGTCTAGTCCCTATTGCTTATTCCTATTAATATTTTAGATTTTATGTGATGAAAATAAGTTTTGATTTTGTGTTTTAGGTTTATTTGCACAGCACTGATGCTAAATATTTTAATATACTAAGGTTTATGCTCTGATTCCCTTTTTGTCTTTATTTTGAAGTTTTCTATTAAAACTAGAATCTGCAGTAGTTTATGTAATGCTGACACAGGAAATTTGGGATTCAGGAATGATCTTGCTAAAGCAAAGAAACATTATAAATAGGGTCAAGTGGTGAGTGAACAAATTTGAAGAAAGCAAACAATAAAATTTTGTAGAAAGAAAGAAAGAAAGAAAGAAAGAAAGAAAGAAAGAAAGAAAGAAAGAAAGAAAGAAAGAAAGAAAGAAAGAAAGAAAGAAAGAAAGAAAGAAAGAAAGAAAGAAAGAAAGAAAGAAAGAAAGAAAAGTGCACAGATAAGGAATTCTGACGCAGCATTGTCAGATTTTGTGACGTATATATTGTTATTCTTCAGTTATGATGTTTTATCCCTCTATCTCATACCAGTAATTTTGCTCCAAGCTGTATGTTCATAATTATGAGATACAGGGGTGTTAAAAGCAAACCTCATCTAGCCATGCCAGTAATCCCTGCTGTTGGAGGAGGCTAAACCTGCTGGATCTCTTGAACTCAGGAGTTTCAACTGAAGTAGGGCTAAAGCTGACTAAGTGATCTCATTAAATTTGGTACCAATATGGTGAGCCTCTAGGAGTGGCTGCCTAAGCAGGAGCAAACCAGTCCCAGCTGGGGAAAAAGAAAGCAAATACAAGCTTCTGTGTATACAGATGGACATGTCAGTAGCTGCTGCACTTCCAGCCTGGGTGACATAGGGAGACCCAATTTAAAATAAACTAAAAATATGCAAACTTCATCCATTTCACAGAATTGTGGAAGACTGAAGGAAGATACCAGACCTGTGAAATATATGGCCCAAGAGCCACTTGCAGCCTGCCAAAGGATTTTGGTGGCCCGAGAAAAATGTAGAGGATGTAAAAGAAAATGAAGATGTAACAAGTGCTTTGTCCATGCCCTGATTAACTCGCCTTCCACTAGTCGCTATTGGGCCAATCATGTAACTTTACAGATGGGTTGCCACTGCATACTCTCTCCTGTTTGTCACATGACCCTCAGCAACCAATCATCATCAGTCTGTCTCTAGTCTGAGAGAAGCAATTTCATGAAAAAATCTTAAGTAAAGAGTGTAATTAATTGATATTAATTGAAATTTCATTTTTATTAATATGGTTTATTTGCAAAATATTTTAATCATTAATCATACCTTTACTTGGAAAATGAGCTGCTAACAACCTATCTGTGGCCCAAAGAAGTTAAGCCTATTTTAATTTTGTCCCCTACCTACTGCCAAGTTGTGCAGATCTGATCTATACTGATCTAAAGGTCAAACCCAGATGTTACTTTTCAAAAACTTAAAGTTTAAAAAAAAAACTTGAAACAAATTCCTAACATCAGATGTTCTTTTAATGATTTAACTTTTTTTCATGGAATCTTACCACTGGAAAGAACTTTAGAGGTTATTTATGTATTTAGTCTACCTGTATACCTTACTTCTAAATGTAGAGAGGAAAATAATGTTAAAGATGCAAGTTGGTCAAGATTTTGCTTATTCCTCAGAATTTCACAAAAGGTATTATGGATTTTTTATATAAGGTTGTGTTTAAAATTTATACCTCACCCAAAGTGAAACATCTCTATAAAGCATATATTAAGCTTTGTTTTGGAAAAATAGTTTTGAAACAGCAATACAATATTTCACTACAGTACACAGTACCTCTTCTTCCCTCTCTAGAGAATTCTTAGAAAAATTCATTGAATTGCTTGATTCAGCTTATCAACTAAATTCTTACTAACACTATGAAATATTACTAATCATCTTCTTAACTATATTTTTTAAAACTGTACTTGGATTTTTAAAGCAAGATATAAATGCAAACAATGGAAATCATTCCAAGAGCTTCATATGACATTAGCTACTACTTCGTTTTAGGGTATTTGCTATTACATCAGTTTTCCTCAATTTTCACAGAAATGACAAATGTATTTTTAAAGGAGGGGGAATAAGATTCCCTATGTCCTCAATGTTTACAATCACAACTGAAGTGGTTACCTGTAAGCAAGTTTTAACATATAAGATAATTTAAACTCTAATTCTTTTCAAACTCTCTGACTGGGTCAAGAAAGGAAACTGAATATATAAACAAGCTAGATAACCATTCTAGGTGGGTGAAATGTCAACAGTTTAATAATTCAGAAATAGGGTAACACAGATAAGGTAGCCAGAAGAAAAAGAATCAAACCAGATACATAACTAGTAATTCCATTTGAACTTGAGGATAAGGGAAATGGAGAGAAATGTATTCCATTCCCCCTTTCCCCCTTCCCCAAATGGCTATGTTGGAGAAACTGGACACGAAGGAGAGAATGGATCCATCTGGGAACAGAGAAAATACACTGAGGACAGACAGATGTGGAGAAATAGTCACTACCCAAGCAAGGGAGGAAGCAGCTTCAAAGAATATAACCCACTAGTGGCAGAGAGAAGCACCAACTATGGACTGAAAAAAGTAAATCTTAGGAGTCCAAATGAGTTACTAATCCCACCCCCACCTGATGCACATGCACCTCGGTATCAGTAAACTAAATTTGAGTCCACTAACTTGTTGAGCCCATGGATGTGTGTATTTGTAAAAACGTGCACCCTAAACTTTTATGGGGAATGTTCTAACTATACCATCTTACTAAATGCTGTTGCTAACAAAGCTAATTCAGTTTGCTGACCAGTTAACTGAAAGGACTCTGGTAGGTGCTCTCGAACTAAGGTAATAGGAACTGTACCCACAGCACAAGCAGTAAAAGCCACCTCTTTGTGACCTAACTTTTGAATACAAATAGGGGGAGTGGTCTCACAGAAGTGTTAAATATAATTCTGACTTTCCAATAAGAGGAATGAAGTTTAAATTCTAGCTCTGCTACTTATTACCTGCATGGCCTTGGTTAAGTTATTTAACCTCTCTAAACTTGTTTCCTCATCTGTAAAATGAGGGGTGAAATAATTTTTAAAAATGAAAAGTAAAACCCCTGCCAGGAAAAAAAAGAGGGAAAGGACCCCCTACTCAATAAATTCTAGTAGCTCCCTAACACCTCCAAGATCAAAGACTCCTTTGCTTGTGGTTCAGATCCTTTCATAGCCTAGCCCCTTTCCATCTTTCCAGTCTTCTTACATCATATGTGCCCACCTGCTCCCCCCGACCATGTATTCTGCCACATAGTGACACTAGCCTCCTTGCTTCCATTGATAAGACACTTCATCTCTCCTTTTTTGCTAACTGTCCCTTCTCATCTTCCTTTCCCGACTTCCTTCAAGTCTAAAATCCTACATTCTAAAGGAAACTTTTCTCAATGTCTTTAAATTCTAGTACCTCTCCCCACTGGTTATTTCTTAATTCATCCTACATGTATTTGTACATAGTTGTCTACATGTTGTCTCCCTTTTAGGATTATGAATTCTTCGAGGGCAGGGAATGTTTTTTGCCTTTATTTGTATCCCTAGTGCTTGGTGTGGTGCCTGGCACATAACAGGCTCTTTATAAATGCTTACTGACTGATATGCCAAAAAAAAAAAAAAAGGTATGCACTTCTTTTTGTGGTATCAAAGAATCTAACCTAAGGGAGTACCTATTAATTAGGCAGTGCTGAGGAAATTTTTTTGTGTGTGAGGTAATTAGAATTAAGTGACTTGCCCAGGGTCACACTGCTAGTGATATCATGTGTTTGAGGTCGAATTTGAACACAGGTCCTCCTGACTTAAGATACATGAATGTAATGGATGTGGTATAAGATTTTATTCCAATCTAATTCATTAAATTGTAAGCTCTTTGAAGGAAAAAAAAAACTAAAAAGAAAATAGATGTCGCCCTAGTTCTCCCTACTCCAATTTATCCCTTATACCAGGGGATCTTGTGATACGCATATGAAAATGAGTAAGATACTCCTTATTTTCCTGCAATTATAACTTTGCTCAGGCTTTCTACTATGTGTAATACCTTTTCTAAGTTTATCTGACCCAAACTTATCCATTCTTTAAAGTTAAATTCAAATGCTACTCCCCATATGAAGCCTTTCTTGGTGCCTCTAGGAATGACAGCCCTACTGTCATCTTGGATGTCACAGATATCACTCCATCTCATGTCTCTAAGCCCTTACTTAGTAGTGTGTATTATGGATACCTGTGTCCTATCCCCTAGTTAGACTGATCCTGACTCTAAAGTTTACATACCCCCAAGACCTAGTCCAAGGCCCTTTATCCATAAAAGGCGATTAATAAAAAATTACAATATTGAATTGTTATGCTTTTCTTCTTACTTGTCATTGGCCAAAGAATAGAAGCGCTTGTTCACACAGCCAATGCACAAAAGGGTAACAGCATCCAAGTAAGAAAATATCTTCAGTAGGATCTCAGAGGGCATACTAAGGAAAAAGGAGAGAGGAAAAAAATGTAAGTTTTTATCTGCAAATTAGTTTTCTCTGCTAAAGAAACTAAGAACAGTAACAGTTCCTACCAACTGTAAATGAATGCAAAATTCAAGGAGAGAGGGAGGGAGCAAACATTTATCAAGAGCCTACTATGTGCCAAGCATTAGGCTGAAGGCTTTACAAATATTATCTCGTTTGACCCTTACAACCACCTTGGGAGGTAGATGTTATTATTATCCATATTTTATAGTCGATCAAACAGACAGAAGTTAATTTACCCAGAGGCAGTAATGGGCAGCTAGGTGGTGAAGAAGACAGAGGACCGACCCTGGACTAAGGAGGACCTGAAATTTGGCCTCAGACAGTTACTAGCTGTGTGATCCTGGGCAAGTTACTTAACCCTGTTTGCCTCAGTTTCTTCATCTCTAAAATGAGGTGGAGAAATGGAAAATCACACCATTATCCTTGCCAAGCAAACTCTAAATGGGGTCACAGAGAATTGGACTCAACTATAACACACAGCTAGTGTCTAAGGTCACATGTGAACTCAGGTCTTCCTTACTTCAAGTCCAATGCTCTATCCACTGTACCAACTAGCTGCCTTTAAGGTAATTTGTATCACTACCCTTCCTTGTTTTCTTTATTGGAAATAAAAAATTCTTTCCTCATGAACTTTTCAATAATCCAATAAAGTGACCCAAAAGCATAACAAAAAAACTAGCTGTGTTTCTTACAAACGAAACTCCAACTTTAATTTCCAGGCCTTTGCAGAAACTCTCCCCATGTACTTCTTCCTTCCCTCTTCCTCTTAAAACTTCTCATTTCCTTCAAAGTTCAGTTCAAGTTCTTCTACATGAGGCCTTTTCTGATCCCTCCCCTAGACATTTATATCTTCTCCCAAGAAAATCATCTCGTATTTAAACATTTATTTTGTACAAATGTATGCCTTTACACGTTGTCTCCCCTAATTTACTACTTAAAGGCAAAGACAATTTCACTTTTTTCTTTTAATTCCCAGCATTTAGCATAGTGTCTAGCATACAGTAGGTTCTTGATAAATATCCACTGACTGGGTTTGGCACTTTTTAATCAGTACAGTTTAGTAACTATATCTCAGAGGACTTCAGAGACTCTCACAAGAAGGTTACTATTGGTTTATATCAGGATTCATGGGATCATAAACTGGAAAACACATCCTTTACTAATACAAAGAAAAATATTTTTAAAGCCTACTAGAAAATGATTTAGTATTTCCCAATTTATTTGAAATCACACTCATTACAATTAGAGATCACAGACTTACCATTTGACCATCCTTACCTTTCCCACATTCATCCATTTTTAATTCAGTCCTCCTCAAGAGTAACCACCAAATCTTTCACATGACTTTCTTGGTACTTCAAGGTGAAATCAGGTTCCTACAAGGTTTTCTGAAGGGTTTAAGCGTTTACTCGACTAAGGGAAATAGTTAGGCCTAATGTTCTCCCAAGGTCCCTTCCAGATAGATAGATCTTATGATTCTATGAAACATTACAATTGTATAATAGCCTGTGGGGAGTTCCTGACATTGAAGGCCCTAGGAACAGGTTCAGCAAACCTTAAACAGAAGGATAAGTACAAAGTGGAAAAGACAAAACTACCAGGCAACACAAACTCTGACCAACATAAAAGGATTACCCGAATCACATAACTGCCTCCCTATGGTGATTCAAATGGAGAAAATGTGTCTTCCCAAACCTTAATTATGAAAAAATACCGATCAACTATCTCACAGGAATCTGCTAGTCTTCCAAGTTTTGTTTTGCTTTTTTTTTTTTAATGACAGGCTCAGAATATACAATTAATGCAGGATATGTTTTCACAAAACATCTGAGACAGAAAGAAGCCACTGACAGGGAATTTTCTCAACTAAGAGGATTATAACTTCTTTGTAGAGGGTATCAAAGATGGGAGGACAAACTGAAAGCCAAAAAAAACGTATTAGCATGCTAAGGAAACTGCTGATTGCAGCAACAATCTCCTAATGCACGGATTTTTATATTTTAGATTTCTATAACCTTCTATGCCCCCTTAGAGTACACAGCCAATCAGCAGCATTCTTTGGAAACTTAGGACAGAGAAGTAATACTTTTCACAAGAAAAGGGGGGGAGTCAATGAAGATAGAAAAGGGGGACTTCTGGAGCAATATCTACTATGCAGCTGGCAGGGTTTGGTGTCAGCATGAGAAGATATTCCCTGTTCCAGGGAAGAAGACAAGAAAAGGTAACCAAATGCTTTTACGGTTGTAAAAGTCCTTTTAGACAAAACCTCAGGAATGACGTAACCATTTACGTAAGACTGTCGGTGTCTCTTGTCCAAGGACAACAAATAATTAAAGCAGTGGATGATACTAACCACTTTATAGTTATACCAACAATCTTATTTCTCCTTACTTTCTACTATTTTGCCACCAGGTAGTTGGGGGATTTCTACATTGTTAATCTATCCAGATGTCATGATTGATTGTAGATCCTATTTCCTCCCCACTCTAGTCCTACTCATAACTGCATTAGTACTATCATCTGCCCCAAAACTTTCAAAGGTTCTTTACTGACTATTGAAAAGTTAAAAATTCTATTCCCTGGGATTCAAAACCCTCGATAATCCAAAACCATCCTAAGCTGTTCCCCTCAAGATCCATATTCTAGCCAAAATGAACACATCCTATACTTTACTACCTTTATCCCTTTGCTCATTTTGTTTGCTATGAATGACATGTAGGTGATCTGGGATGTAAAACATTAAGGCAATAAAGGACAAGGTCTGGCAAGCTCTGCCAGCTAGAAGAGTTTCAAGTAACAGTCTGGTAACAGGTTAGATCCCTGTCACACAAGAACCAACCTAGCTAAAAATTCACTGATGCCAATCACTAGGTGGAACAGAGTGATGACTTTTCAACTACTACAACTCTAAGAGTTCCACAACAAAACCACATTTCCTTAAAGTACCGAGACATTTTTTTCAATGTGCACTAGAATAAGGACTCCTATCTAACGACAAATAAAGCTGGAAAAGCATCCATACATTTTATTATTGTTGCTGACCTATGATTTATTTCATTGCTACAGGAATTGGTAGCGAGGAAATTCCCTCTATCAATGTGTATCAGCAACTGTTTGGCAATTTATATTACTAGAGGGTCATCTGGTGCCCTGATTTTCCCAGAGTCACATAGCTAGTATGTGTCAGAGGTAGGACTTATATTTAGGTCTTCCATAAGGTTCTAAGTACCCCCCAATGAGCCAAAATACTATTTACTTTGTATAGATTTAAACGTGAGCATGCTGTTTACCACCAATAAAATAGAAGTTCCTTGAAGTCAAAGACCATTTCATTTTTGTTTTTGTAATCCCAGAACCTAGCACAGTGCTTACCACATAGTAGACATCTAGAAATATATCAGTTGACTGATAGATTGCTGACTCCAAAGCCCACTCTCTATTCACTATATGCCAATTTACTCTCATCAGTGAGTTAACAGTTATTATTGCTGTTACAGAATAAAGCTTCTGTCTTAGCTTTTAAAAAAAGATTCACTTTCCTTAGGAATTGTTTAAACTTTCATTAGATTGAGCTTTGATGACTGGAGAAAGTAAACTTCATTCTCTTCCTGCAAGAAGCTTCAGGGACACTGAATGACAAGAAATAATATTTTTTCCATGACTGTAGGAAAGATACATGTGCATTTATATACACAATATAAATATATCAACACATATGTATATATGTACCATATGTATGTGTACACATAAAATGCACATTTAACTAATCAATTATTTCAACAGAACTATGATTTCATTAATAAGGGTACTTCTTCCAACAGCTTAGAGACTGAGTTTATCCCAACCACACTTTCCTATTCTATGCAATTCTGGTCTATGTCCTTGCATGAATTCTGCATAAATGACATATCCAACACACATCTAGCCATCCCTTCCTCTAGGTCTTTTAAAATTCTATAGGTATCAGTGCAGCACTGGCTATTCATTAGTGCTGTCCCTCAATCTTTGAAATTATTTTGTATGTTCCTATTTGCATTTGCTCTTCCCATTAGCAATATAAACTCTGTAAAGGCAGGGACTCATTTTGTTTTGTTTGGGTTGTTTTTTTTTAACCTTAGTATTTAACATGCTACCTGAAACACAAACATTTGATAAAGTAATTTGTTATACATTTCCTGGACGCTACTTATCATGCCATTTCTTGCACCTAAATCTTCACTGGTAACATGCTGCAAGATTGCTTATGACCACAGTGTGTGTGTCCATTGCCATTTGGCTCACATACTATTCTGATGCTTTCGATACTATGGTGCTCTATGTACTGAGCACCGACAAAAGGATACAGTTAAAAAGATATGGTTTTGTACAGGAAAATAGAAGGGGAAGGGGATAAGAGAAGAGGGGGAGAGACAGAAGGGAGGGCAGACTAGGGGAAGGGATATTCAGAATGTATGCCATCTTGGGGTGGGGGGAGGAGCAAGTTGGGGTGAAAATTTGGAACTTAAAATCTTGTGGAAGTAAATGCTGAAAACTAAAAATAATTTATTTTTTTTTTATTTAGGCAATTGGGGTTAAGTGACTTTGCCCAGGGTCACACAGCTAGTAAGTGTCAAGTGTTTGGTCTGAGGCCAGATTTGAACTCAGGTCATCCTGACTTCAGGGCCGGTGCTTTATCCACTGCACCACCTAGCTGCCCCAAAATAAATAATTTTTTTTAAAAAAAATGCTGTCCATCCCCAGAGAGAGAACTGATGGAGTCTGTGTAAAGATTAGAGCGTGCTTTTTTTTTAAACTTTTATTTTTCTTTGGTTTTTATTTTGGTCTATGTTTTCTTTTACAACATGACTAACAGGAAAATTTGTTTTACATGATTATACATGTATAATCTATATCAAATTGCTGGCCTTCTCAATGAGGGAAGTGGGTAGGCAGGTAGAGAATTTGGAACTCAA